CAGTAACTGTAGCCACGAAGTTGGTAAACGAGGTATTCACCCGATTCGGAGTGCCCTTGGAGATGCACAGTGATCAAGGACGGAACTTTGAATCCCAAGTTTTCCAGGAAACTTGTAAACTTTTGGGAATCCATAAGACTCGAACGACCCCTTATCATCCACAGTCAGATGGAATGGTCGAACGCTTCAACCAAACATTGGAGCGACACTTAGCAAAGGTGGTTGACAGCCATCAGAGAGATTGGGACACTTACATACCTCTCTTCTTGCTTGCCTATCGGACTGCTGTACATGAAAGTACCGCAAAGACGCCTGCATTTGCAAATTTTGGAAGGGAATTGAGATTACCGGCAGATCTTGTATCGGGCTGTCCACCTGGTGACTCTCGCACCGAGTTTAGCGATTACATAAGCGAGTTAAGGGCAAAAATGTTGGACATTTATGAGCAGATCAGGGAGGCCGGTCTTCAAGCTAGTGATCGCGCAAAGACGCGCTATGATCGACGAGCCAATTCTGTTGGGTTTGAAGAGGGGTCATTGGTCTGGCTTCATAATCCAGTCAGAAGGAAGGGAAAATCTCCAAAGCTGCAACCGAGTTGGGAAGGTCCTTACGAGATAGTCACGAAGATCAATGACATTACTTACAGAATTCGGAAGTCTTCAAGGAGCCCTTTGAAAGTTGTCCATATAGACAGGTTGGCGAGGTATTACGGCAGCAACGATGCTCGGGACGAGCGAATCTAAGAGGGGGGCAGTGTGACAGAAAACTCTTTGACATCATGACGTCAATGGATGGTTGTCAAACGTTGCCTAGAGATTGTAAATTTCGTCGTGAATTGTCAACACGAGTTGGTGTAATCGGTAAGGCGTGTGGATTACACCACAGAGACCCCGAGTTCGAGTCCCGCCGTAAACATGAAGTTTTTTAGTTGATGGAAATTTTGTCGAACTTTCTGGAATATTTGAGTGAAAGTAATGAAAAATTAAAGAGCGAGAAGGAGAATAAATAAAAATGAATAACGAAATTATTGGAAGGTTCTGGAGGCATGACGATCAAAAAGAATAACGAAATTGAATGTTCTAGAACCTGACCGGGGGTATATAAGCGGAACTGCGGCTCACCGCTGGCAGTTGAGTTCTAAGTCCAAAGCGATTCGGAAGAAAAGGAAGAAGTGAAAAGAAGAAAAGTGAGTGAAATAGTGAAGTACAGTGAAATAGTGAAGTGCAGTCAGTTAAGTGAGTTAAGTCAGCGTGAACAGTGAACGGCAAAGTTGTGTCAGTCGGCCGGACTCTGCTGGAGAGGAACGCCGATAACTTATCCGTATCCGTGGAGGCTGTCACTTAAGTGCAATAGAAAGTCTGAAAACCGGTATTAGTGTTTAATTTCATCCAATCCCGTAACCCAAGCCCGCATAGTTAGGAACGTGACGTCAGGCACGTAACAATACAAACTTAAAATGTTTACCTCTTTATAATATTAAGTATACACGACGGCAATCGAACAAATCGGTTACCTGATGGTAAGCAAACTGTGCAGCCCGCAATACTACAAGCCTTTTGGGTATAAGGGGTTTTGGGGATTCTATTATGTATTGAGGGATAGTCCAACTATTTAGTAACGGGGGATGCGGAAGGTGTGTCGTGGTGGCCCGGAGGTTAAGGTATACAGTTTTGTTGGACATTTTATACTTTTTATAATGTAAAATGTACCTTTTAAGCAATAATAAATAAAAATAAAAATAAAAATAAGGAGGGTGTGGGTTCGAAACCTGGCAAGTACCAATGTGACTTTTTCTGAGTTATATGTTCTTTCTGTAATTATTAAGACACCACTGACATAAGGTGAAGGTAAACATGGTGAGGAATCCTGGACTAATAATTTCTAATTATAAGTTTGAAATCGCCAACCCACATTGAGCAAGTGTTGTGATTAATGCTCTAACCTTCTCCGTATGAGAAGAGGCCTTTGATCAGCAGTGCGCACTTATAGGTTGATGATGACCTCAGAACCTACGTTTTCATTAAAGTTCTAATCGAAATCTATACTTATAATTAATATTATAAAGCTGAAGAGTTTGTTTGTTTAAACGCGCTAATCTCCGGAACTCCTGGTTCAAATTTAACAAATATTTTTTTTGTCTATTACCTAGTCCATTTATCGAGGAAGGCTATAGGCTATAAAACATCACGCTACTATCTGTAGGGACAGAACAGCGGGTGAAATCGCGCGAGAGTAGCTCATAATATACATATGTATTGTGTCTGCAGTAGCTAAACTTATGAAAGGAATTGTGATTGAGACTGGTCAAAAGGAATTGCGGTTACATAAAATACCGCAGTGCGGCTGAAGACGAACCTAATCATAATTGGGCGTAGCATTTGACCTTTACCTTAAAGTATCTATCTACCTGCCATACTAAGTAGTTTGTCAGTTCCAAACCTTGCAAGTGTGGGAGAGCCATGCTTCGGCGCGAATGGGTCGGCTTGACCGGAGTGATACCACGGCCTCACAGAAAACCGGCGTGAAACAACCACAGCGTTGTGTTTCGCTGTGTGAGTGAGGTTACCGGAGGCCCAATCCTACCCCTTCCCGGAACCTTCCCCAATCCCTAAATCTCCAAATCCCTAATCCCTAAAAGGTCGGCAACGCACTCGTAACTCCTCCGTTGCGGGTGTCCATGGGCGGCGTTGATTGCTTACCATTAGGTAATCCGTCTGCTCGTTTGCCGACTTATTACAAAAAAAAGTACCAGTTTTTCCGAGTTACCTTAACTTTCTTAGATTATTTAAACACCAGTGATACAGGAGGAAGACAGAAAATCCTTTTTTTGTCAGGGAAAAATCATCAAATTACTTCTTTCACCCAGGGTAAGGCGAGTGAGACTCTTACTGACTAAAAACTCCCCCGTTCCTTCTCGTGCTCTGGGCCGAGGCCGCGGTGACTCATTGCGCTTACCTCGCCGGCTGACCATCAGCCCTATAGAGCCCCGTCTGTGGTGGTCTATTGACTCTTTGAAGCGCGCGGAATTTATAAATAATCAAATGTATTTACACGCAAAGGAGTCCTATCCATCTTGATGTGTCCATGGACCCAAGTAACAATTACTCAAATATGTATATTACGGCATAAAAGGACTGACTTTTATGTGTTCCTTAAGTTCAAATTTCCACACAATACAACAAAATTTATGGCTCTCAAGATATCAATTTTAATGCAGGTCATTAGATGTGCAGTCTCAGTCTCTCTGATAATACAATTCGTGTTGCGGTTGATAAAGTAGATATAATATTACAACAGTCCCTATGTATACAATATGGTAGTTGACAACTGGTCAAATTTAACACTTTTATCGAATATGAAATTGCATAAATTACGAAAATATTATGTAGCTGTAAAATTAATTGTTCTCAATTAGTGTAAACTATACTTAAGGGAATTCTATTTGTTCATTTCTTTTTTGAATCGAAATTTCAAAACAATGCTTTACTGTTTTTTTTTGTATAAATTCCAACCTTATGATGTACCTATTAGCATTTGTATGTCAAATAGCGTAAGTATTCTGGTGTTTAGTGTATCGTAAAGTCAATCAAAGAAAGTTTCATTATTTTGAATATTTAATTTAAAGGTATATTTTTATGAGGAAAACACACATTTAAGTACCTGTTCGTCCTTACGAATGTGAATTAAGTATCACCTAAGTTCACTGGTCGGTTCATCAGTCCAGCAGTTTATGTGTAAAAGAGACAGAGACAGATACACAGAAAGAGACAAACAAACTCCTTTTGTTTCCTTCCTTAAACTTATAGTCGACTGGCATAAGATTAAGCCTATTTTAAGATTAGGCCAGTTCAGTTTATTTTAATTCTTGAAATTACGATCAATGCTATTTGATTGAATCCTGCTCAGAATCAGAATGGGTTTCAACAATAAAATATAAACAAAATTCAATTAAAACATACAATAATCCAATGTAAAAAATTTAAGTGCTTAATTCATCAAACCCCAGTGAACGCGGGAGTTCGCGCACCTAGTCTTATTATGTGTCTCGAATGACTACGATTGTAAAACTAAGTAGAGCAAAAATTTAATTAATTAAGATCTGGGAATTCAGTAATTTCTTTGTAGTTACGGCAAAACACTATCGGGGATAGCCTCGAATGATCGGCTTGCTAGATGGTTACATTTAAAATAATTTAAAATTACTCTGATGTTTTTCCTTGAGAATTCCGAGGTCGTTTTTAACAGTGATAACGATGTAAATAAACGCTTAATTAGGATTTAATGTTGACATGATTGTGGTTGGTTTAAAAATAAATAACATTGTTTTGAATTATACTTAGTGGAAAACTATAGGTTATGTTTTCTTAGGCTCTAATAAGTCTAGGAACCGATACGTTTTGGCGTTATTTTGTAGATGTAAGGCCAAGGGTTGGTTGCCATACCTACCTACTTACTAGTATCTAGATACATATATTTAGATTAGATTTACGTTAAGTTAGTTGTTGTGGCCAAACCAAATTATATATGTATATATATGGGTCGTTAAGTATCATATAAGTATCTATTTCTTTTTCGTAAAAAAAAATAATTTTACTAAGTACTATTTTGTATAATACATATCTTATATACTTTTATTTTATTTTATAGTTTTGTATTCAACCAGCTATCTATTTAAATCTTGATTATAATTTATCATTTAGGTAGTATCATAAAGACAATTGGTTGATAGATTTATCATTTACTTAACTGAAAAAAAATACAAACAATTAATATTTCCCCTTCCTTATACGAAAATAAATTAACAAGACCTAATTCTTCGTTAAAATTAAAACATAATGTAATCGAATTGAAGGTAGGCATTGCAATAGAAAGATACAATACTCAAAGATAAAAATCTCAACAATAAAATCAGATCACTGATTAATTCACTCAAGTGTTAAACTTGAACACAATACAAAACATATGGCCAACATAACAATGTAAAAGTGAAGCTTACTCACCGCACCCCAACACAAGGAAATCCAGTAAAATCTTCCAAATTAACCTGTCGGCTGCCATTGTAACACTATAACATAATTGTTTACGTAAAAACGTTTATTTATACTAGCACGCTGCCTCTAGCACGGCGCTCCCGATAAAGACTGCTACAAAACTGATAAAAATTACTAATCTGTGGGTAAGTAAGTAGGCGGTGTTAGTCATTGTCAAACATTGCAAAAAGCACAGTTACTGAGGTCCTTGCACTATTATATTTCATCTTGTTAGCGATAACGCGACTACGTACTTAGTAACACAGTGTAAATATTATTGTAGTGAATAAAATTAGTATTGATATAAAACCCACCTACTTAGACTAACGCCATCTATTGTTCAAGTTAAGAACGATTAAGAATGCTTGATTTCGTAGTTCTGGTTAAGAAAACCAGATGGCGCTGTTACAAGTAAGGATATGAAATGAAATAACATGGGAACACTTTATACAGATTTATTATTATGCTTCATAAACTTTTAACCATATTTAAAAATAAGTAAATAAATAGCTGCCTCTAAGTTACAGTAAATCGAGAATTGTAAAGGCAGTGCATTTTAAGTTCTATACATTAAAAAAAACATTATAAACAAGTAATTTTACTTAAATTAGTGTATAAACTGTAGACAACTATGTGTCAAAATGAGTAAAAATATTATTTTCAACTATATTACACTTAACTAGCACCTAATTGGACCTAAAGCTACATTTCTAGATTGGGTACCTGTTACAGAGATTTAAAAATATTATGACCAATCGACGTATACAAACTTCATAGAATGTAATTGACTTACTGGCATAAAACTTAAGCTGGTGAAAAAAAAAAACAACTCATTAATTTCAATAGAAAACGCGGGACCATTTTGAATATGGAACTGTCAGGTATCAAGAACTCAATATGAATCCTATGGCTTTCCATACTACAATAAATTTTCAACTCTATTGCATACATAGTTTTGCTTAAAATACAACTTTAAATCCCACACAATAGAGTTCAAAATGCCTTGCATAATTTAAACAAAGTTTCTCTAATGTCGATTAATCATAACAATTTTGCACCTCAGATCTTTTATTTCCTTTAATTTTAAAAGCCTATATCACAGTATAAAAATACGTTACAACTGTCTTCGAGACTCCTGTTTATACTATGACTAACATAAATAATTATAAGCCTTCCAAAGAAACATTTGTTTTACAAAAACCAACCTTCGGACTTAGCAGACAAGGTTCGTTTTAATTCAAATGTTATTCTTTTTACAATATCAATGTGATTGAATCTTTTAGCTAAAATCATAAGGTTGATTTTCGCAGAACAATGCGCTAGTTCTGACTTATTGATGCATTCTCTATTCTTTAAAAAGTTAGCAATGAACAAATGTTCAAACTTCTACCATTGGCTATAAAGCTGAATTTTACTTGCAAAGTCAAAAAATTAAATAAATGCCATCGAAACTAACTCTTATGGAGCTAGATTTAGAAATCAAAATAATTCGACGTCAACAATTTTGTAAAATCATACATTATTATTTACATTTATGTATATCTTAAAAATTACTTGTACTATATATAAAAATTAGCGTCAAAATCGAATGACTTAAAATAAGTAGACATTTGATTATTACATAAAAACAAACATGATATAGCGTTAACGCAATTGTGTCAACAGATGGCGTTACTGTGTCGAATGGTGTTGTTAGTCTAGTGTTGTTGGTTTTTTTTTAATGTGAATCGACGGCCAACGAGCTTACGGATTATTTGATGGTAAGCAAGGAGTTACGATTACGTTGCCGACCTTTTGGATTGGAGATTTTGAGATTGGGTAAGGGAAAGGATGCAATTAGGCCTCCGGTTACTTCACTCACACGGCGAAACACACCTATATGGTTGTTTTACGCCGGTTTTCTGCGAGGCCGTGGTCTTATTCTGGACCGACCAATTCGTGTCGAAGCATAATTCTCTCAGACATGGTAAACTGGATCTCACGACACATTATCACCATCTGCTGATTAAGAGAATCCCCATACATTGGCCTATGCAATGTGGACTAATAATTAGCTATTATAATATCATAAAAATTGCATTGCTCTTTAATATTAAGTAGGTACTTTTGAAGCTATTTTTATTGGTACCTAATGGATGAACACTGGCTTTTGTTTTTTAAGTAATAAGGTTCAAATTTGTATTTATTTAATGATGATTATGATAGCTGACACAGTACTGGTGTTTTGGGGGTGTTTTAAGCATAACGGTCTGAAACCTGGGAAGCACCAATGTCACATTTTTCAAGTTAAATGAACTTTCTAAGTTTATGAGACACCACTGACATATGGTGAAGGAAAAGATCGAGAGGAAACCAAGACTTATAATTTGTAGTCAGTTATGAGTTTGAAATCGCCATCGAAGAGGTTTTTCTTCAACAATGGGATATTTAAATGTTGATGATTATTTTTATATTTCGGAGAAAGTTTTAAACAGTTTTAGAATTTATCAGTCTACAAAAATGTAAAGGTCAATAAGGCGTACTTAATTCAAAAATTAAGTTTGATATTTTTAATCCGCGCTAAAAGCCGAGAGCAGTCTGCGAGCAAAACCGAGGGCAAAGGCTAGTTTAACAACATTAAACTAAGATTCTAATGATTACAAATCTGTCAGTATGATAAGAAGATCATTACAAGAAAGAATTACTATTGACGGATAATGTTGAAATTGGCGACATCTATGAACAAAAAATAACAGTTCATTTTTACAAGCGTTGCTTAAAAACAGACATAAGTATAACATATAATTATAATATAGTAAAATGTATAACCGTGTACCTGAAAGCGATTTTTAATTGTACTGTTTTTAAAATATGTACAATTTTATTTGAGTTTCTTTGATTCTCAACTTTGAACCTTAATACCAAGTTCAGTAGAGATACAACCAAATATCATACACGTTTGATATTGGATTATGACCTTTACTACCTAGTTATAACGTTGAATTACTGTTAAAGCATACCTCTATCATACGATACTGAATATTATGATTAAAAAGAAACCAATTCTAATACCGTTACTGTAAGTTCATTTTAGTTTGAAAAACGTTTCAAAGTTGAGAGGCAATGAAACTCAAGTAAACATCTTAATTTACTTCGAATAATTACCTTATTTTAATATTTACAAACTAAATAGGTATTTGAAAAAAATTACACTATTAATGAGAGTTGATTCACTTAAGTTAGAAACAGTGTGGATCGCTTATAATCATAACTATATGGTTTGCCAGCTCATCAGTCCACCAACGATTAAAAACAAGAGAAAAATTTAAATAGAAAAACGTATTAATCTTGTATTTCGAATTTTAGTGTGAAATTTTAGTAATTCGGATATTTTTAAGTGTGAAATGGTATGTAAAAAAAGTCGGCTAAGTGGTAAAAAATGAGTGTTATTTATGTGTTAAGGACGTATTTTAAACACCCATTCAGCAAAGTTTACAACTGATTTCAATGCCTTAAATTTTTATTAAAAGGGTTTAAAAATAATAAAATGTCTTTCTAAAAAAAATCACAAATCATAATTCCCTTTTATGAGACTACAACGATGTTATCTTAAAGTAAGGTTTAAATAATAAAATCATGAAGAAAACACCATTCCTTTTGAACATAAGTGAATCAATTTTCATTAATACAAAAAATATTTTTTAACTATTGCAACACTTGTGTCCCCACCTAAGGTAGGCAACACTGTCTATACTAGTGTAGGCAATTGTTTACTGCCTTCCTAGTTTTTTGGCTATAAAATAGCCGAATGAAGCTTGTTTATTAAGCTGCCTTCACACCTATATTATTTTGAAAAAGTTCGATAAGTTAGGTATGGATAATAATATGGTAATAACTGCAAATCAAAGAATACGTTTTTAATATATCTATGTATTTCAACATACTATAATAGTATACTCTGAGATGCTAACAAATTTTGTGAGATTCTTAATTTAAATCAGATTGTAATTTATATTTCAAGCTTTTCTTTTAAATATGAACCTTTTAACTGTCCTTTAAAAGGTCCATTTTCTTTTAATAACAAAATGGTTTCGCAAAAATAATCTTTAAACGGTTAACAATTAAAGTAAAATTTTGTCTGTAATAAGTAGCAAGTCCCAGACAAAACTTATCGAACTAGACTAATTTAAATACCGCATATTAAACTATACTCTTTTCTTATAAGAAAAGTATACCTTAACACGCTTTCTGTACAAATAAAAAATAAATATCTTGATATCTTAATCTTAAAATGTCGAGTACACGAAGTAATACTTTTAGTACCCGCTATAATTATTTAATAATAAACATTTATATACAAAACTTCGATTTATCAACATCCCTATATAACATTGCACAAATCCGAATATCATCAATAACGCGGTAATTTGACTTTTTTCAACGTAGTATGGGTAAGAGAACGCTATTCAGCAAAGGAGGATTAATATTCTACTACACTACTAACATTTTTTTTGCTCATTCCATATTTAAAACTTTTCAGATAAGTTATATAAATTAAGCGTTCTATTTTTAAACATGTTTGAAATAACTAGATGACTACTTTTATTTTTTTATAATCAACAAATGGCTATTTAAAGTCTTTCAAGTCAAGCGCGTTTTCTATCCTATACAACATGAAAATAGTCAAGTCGACGTAATTTTAATATCAAAATAATATAAAAAAAAATCTGCAACACACTCCAAAACGAAGCGTAAACATTATGTACATAGCGGAACACAATATAAATACACGAACTCGCTACAAGGAACATATCTATGTACCATTAAATAGCTGCTTTTTTGACTAAAATAAGTTTACAGCTGCTTTCAATACCTTGTATTTTAAATTATTGGATGAAAAAAAACCTAATAGAATGCCATTCTGAAAAAAAAAAAACATGCACGACTTTAGCGTACGTTATGTAGAACCAACCAGATTTTAAAAACAGAATTCTATGAGACACTAATTCCTTAAAGACTTAAGTCTTAGTAGCATTACAATGCAATGTAGCCACTATTCATAAGGATATAAGGTTCAAATAACTTTAAAACGTCAATGTCGTACGCACTCACATTTTTTGTGCACAGTTCACTCTTGAGACAGCCTACAGGCGTCGATGTACTCATGGGAGATCC